AAATAAAATTGTGAACATATCTGAAAATAAGAGTTTTACATTTTTACTGCGGTAAGTGCATTTATTATAATTATTTACCAAATTTCCATTGCAACTAGCAAAATCTAGTTTCACTACCATAGAATATATATATTTTGTGGTACTATCGATACATACTCCTTTCAAAATGACACATTATTATTATAAGGACATTACAAACAAAGCAAAATTTATATATAAAATCTGTTGAATAATATATAAATACATTAATATTATAATAAAGAAGATATATCCTTTATATTCGTTAACAATTTCTTTTAAAATATGTCCTAATCTTAATATAAACACAGTAAGCCGTTTGAATATGGCATTCTCATGAAACAGCAGCGCTGAAATTGTCCACCATTGGTAGGAATACTGCGTAAATTCACAAAATCTGTTGACCAGATGTATACGTAACGGCTTAACAATCGCGATGGCTCAAACGGGATTGACTAGTCATGTTCAGAAATTTCATCTAAATTAAAAACATTTATTTGCTTATTCATCGACGCATTCCTTACACAGCTAGCTTACCTTTTGATGAACCGATCAGCGGCATTTGGACTTCTGGACGACTCAAAATTCCTTTTAGTTGCAATGTAGCGAAGGGCAGCTTGCTGCTGGTGTTGTAAAAAAAGATTGTGTTTGCTGTATGTATGATGAATCGTCGTTGATGACTGCATAATGCTTGGTTTTTGTTGGTAAGAATCTCTAAACAGCAAATTTGCGAGATTTTCGCCATTGCAAGAAGGAGTTTGCTTGTATATACCATGAGTGTCTAAGTAGCTTACAAATTTTCGAATGATTTGCAATAATTTAACATTTTGGAATGTGTACTATTTTGAACACCTTGATTCAATCTATAGAAATGTGAAATAAATATTAAAAAGTTTGAATAATCGTATTTAGTTTTTTGCAATTCAGGAAAATATAAGAAATTGTTTACCAAATTAGCTTTTTAAATTTGCTTGTCTACAGTTGTTCTTTTCCGACAATAAACTTTCTCGATCGTGGCCATCATTCGAAACTGTTCATCACGATTTTTACAATCACCCGATTCTCTTTCAAAAGTCCCTGATACGAAATAGTTGCCTGCCACAGTTCACATTTCTTTGCCTTAAAGTCGTTATAAACATTTTACTAAGTGGACATTGTTATTATATTACATTATATAAAAATTAAAATTTTAATTAATGATAAGTGTAACAAAGTATGTCATTAATAAAACTAATCCTTTGTTATACATTGCAGCACCTAGAAATGCTTGAGATAGGCCTACTTCTTATTATACCGATCGATTTAGAATCACTTTTTGGTTCGATTTAAACGTGTTTTTCCGTCTATTCATCTTTTTCCTTGTATTTACTGGTAAATGCAATTGAGTTCATACGATAAAAGGATAGAATTTTCAATGCTCTCATTATATCATACCAGTAATTTAACATAAAAAAATTAACTGTAGTAAATTTGGACCGTATCGGCCAATTTTTAGGATCCTAACCTAGCAACGATTTTCACGAAAATCAATGCTTTGTAGAGGAGTAAATT